CCCCAAAACCCCAAAACCCCAAAACCCCGTGGAGGGATATAGGAATTGAGATTAGGAAATTAATAATAAATATGAAACTTCAGAACATTATTATAGGGAAATTCTTCTATTTCTTGAGTTCCAGGACTTGGCTGATAACAGACTCTAGCTAGTCAGCAAGAAGTTCTACCGCAAAATCATGTAAGCATCTCTTTAGAATTGTTACGCTAATTTTGTACAACAAAGAGTTGCTCAAGAAACCCTCAGATATGTGCAATGATTCTAACCATATGTTTGAGTGGACACTAACCATGACTACCTTGCCTCCACTTTTGAGAACAACTCACCAATGTTTATAGGGAAGACAATGAGTTGCTCAGAAGAATGCTCGAAAACTATCTAGGAATGATCAAAGACTACCAGAGAGAACAAGAATACCAAGATTCAATATTAGACAACTGAAGAGCCAAAGAGCAAGAAAACAGTAAAGAAGAAATGAAAGAGTACCTAACTGTACTGATTTGTAGGCCTGAAAGGAAGTACATCAAACTGTACGATGACTCCAACTCCAACATTATCAGGCTCATGAAGAGCTTGTTCAGAGAAAGTAATAAACTCATGGTGATGTGTGAAAGGTAACTTGGCTATCACATCTTAGACTATCTACTTTTTAGAAAATACCAAATTTACATTTAAGATCCTTCTTGAATTATGATATCTTGCATTCATAATAAGTCTTAGTTAATCCTATTCTTCATTCCTTTAATTCTTCTCAAGCTTTACTAATGCTAAGTCTTCTTGAATAGAACCACTGCTGGCCATCAGGAGGGGTGAGATAGCATTCGAGAAATCTTTCAAGGAAATGGAGATTACTACAATTCTTTCCCTGATATTTATTTTCCGAACGAATTGATGTGCATCATTGGTAACCCACATTCGGATAAACCTCAACAAGAAAGAAATAAAGCTGATAAAGTAGCTCAAACAGGAGAGCTTTGCAGAGTGCATCGAAATAAAACTCTTTTAAAATTTCACAAATCCACAAAATATAAAGGATACAAATATAGCTATTACGACTCTTCATTAGATAGTGATGAAGTAATGCCTGAAGACCCTGGGTAAGTTCTTAAAGAAACATTTATTGAGACTTTTAAAGAGGCTTAAATATTCAACAAGTCTTTTTTGCTTACTTTTAGAGATTCAGAAATCTTTTATTTGTTTTCAAAAATTATTTTGGCACATTTAGATGCCACTTCAAACCGAAAATCTTAATTTATGAAATATAGTAAGAAGAATGTTAAAGAGTACTCTCTGAAAAGTGCTTACAAAGTACTTGAAGACACTGCTTACAAAGTACTTGAAGACACTGCTTACAAAAGTCCTAACCTCATTGCCCATGACAAAGGCTTTGTAGACAAAGACGATAAATATTATGGTCAAGTAAGTGAAGCATTGTCATGCATTTAGAAACATACAAAAATTGTTGAATTTGATACAACCATGCAGAGAGAGATTTCAAGAGACAAATTATTCATGCTGACTCAAGTCGAGGTAACTTTTGCTCTAAAATTTAGATCCACCCATCAAATTGGTGCACTTGCAACATTAAAGCTTTTGTTGTATTCGTGCATGACTATCCAGTTGTTCCAGAAGACCACCCTTTGACAACCATTGTCAAGGTGCTGTATGACTCCCTAGAATGGAACAATAAAAAAGCCACTAACTATGTAAGACAGAACACTAAATGGATGTACAGAAATGAATCAGAAGAGGGTATGAAAGTTTTACATTGTTATCAGCCTAAATTGTTCACTAAGGTTTCTAAAAGTAGAACATTTATCTCATTTGAAGTTCACTTATGATTTTAGAAGATAAAGAAGAAACCAACAACAGCTCAAAAGAAAATGCTAAGGATAAACAATCAGACAAGCCTAAAGCCACACTTTCCCAAGAAATCTTGGCTGCAAACATCAATGCTGCAAGTTATGGAATCATTCCAAAAATATATCAAGCAAAAACAAAACTCTTGAGTTTACTCAAAAGCTCTATTCAAAGAAGTCCAATTTCAATACCAAAGGTAAGCAAACAATTAACCTCTTCAAAGAAATTCAGGATGGATGTTGACAGAATCATCTCCAAGCTGCCAAAGTCATCAGAGTACTTGCCAGTGATGGAGTCTTTGGACAAGCCTCAGGTGGTTGAGGACTACAACTACAGATTGGCTACCATTGCATACAAATTAGATGTAAGTTGTGTTACTAACTCTACAGACATCTAGCAACACCTACCAAATCAAGATGCCTGCGAACACATATGGAAGATACATCACGATCTTGAGTATGCTCTTACTTGTGTCTTTACTTTGATCCTGTTGAACCTTAGCAACTTGATATCTTTGCGGATGTCTGAGATTCCAATTATGGAAATCTACAAAAAGATTCAGTTTTCTCATTAAATATTGGGGTTTTGGGGTTTTGGGGTTTTGGGG